ACATTGCCTGCCTCACTTAGAGAAGTAGGGATGCAAGGAAATACTGCACTTCTCTTATTGATTCCCAAACAAAGATCCAACTTCTGTTCTCTCCTTCCCCTCCACTAGGTAAAAATATCCAGCGCCTTCTCAGATTATTGGGCTGAACACCTCCGATGGTTGCCAAATGGGCAGGCTCTTCAAGTTCTGAATAATTTCCACTTGGATAAAGGTATTTTTCTGGCTTAGCGATCACCCATTATTCCCCATTTTAGAAGAGATTTAATGTGGCAAAGGAGGATGCATCATTTCTTGTCCTCAGGAGATGGCAGCAGAGTCTGTGGTATTTGGTGATTAACTAAAGATACTATATTTTTCATAGAAGTGTCCCAAACTAGCAAGCCAATCTATATATTAACAAGCCACATATACATGCAAAAAGAACTGAATGGTCAAACAGCACTCAAAAGCCAACACCGGGTTCTGAAGTGCTTCAATAAAATGGCCACAACCCCTATGTTACCTTCCTACCCTCCCAATCCTTCCTACTTCGTGGAATGTCTTAATCTGGTTATGGAATTAAACTCGAAAAGGGTAAGAGTTATAAATCAGGTTAAAGTACCTATAATAAACCGTACTGGGTTTTTTATAAACTCATTTAGAAGCTATTAAGCCATCTGTAAGCATCCATATAGGCAAGGTCTAAATTTACCATCCATGAAATTAAATGCAGAGAGTATAGCTCACACTTGGACACTTCTAGGTTCAGAAAAAGACTAAAAATAAACAATGAATTTCAAGCTCAATTACCTTTTTTTGTCTCCAGTGCATATGACAATTCAGCAGTTTTCTCATAAACTTGGAACTTCCTCCCATATACATTAAGCTTAGCACTGTGCCTAACGAATGGAAGCAAATCGACAGCTCTGCACAAACTCCATCATACTAACTCAGGAGAGAAAAAACTCTCCCTGTTCTCGTGAGAAACACACACAGCTTCAGGACCTTGAAAGGTTTACTTTGTGAATCCTGGCCAAACAAGCAGAGATACCAGAGTTTACCATAATGATTCCCTGCACTTTAAAAACACTAGCTATGTTTCTGTTATGTTCAGTACTCCTCAGCTCTGATGTCTCTCCTACAAAGGCAGCCAGAATAGCACTAGCCTGGAAAGCCTCTGGGTTAGGAAGGTCTCTGTGTCAGCAGATACCTGCTATGAAACATGCAGCCTTAAGGACTCTTCTGCAGCAACTGAGGACCCTCAGAAATTACAAAACCTGAGACATAACTGTAAACACATAGAAGTGAGAGGCACTCTTCCAGGAATTTCTTACTCAAAAGTAGTGGACCTTACTTTCTGAGGCAGTGCCTTAACACACAGCACTTTGCTCGCTTTTCAATCAGTTCTTCATCACGTGGCTCAGTATGTGCTGCCACATGACAATCCCACAGGTGTTTCCCATCAAAGCTGGAGTCTGGTCAATGTGACAATGCATATGCACAGGATCACAGGCACTGGGCCCTGCTCAGAACACGCACTACGTGCTCAATGTATCTGACAGTCCCAGTCACACAGCGGGTACATGCATGCAATGGAGCATGCAGGTCCTGCAGTACTCTCGTGTAACAAGGTCTTTAGGGAAGGCTGGATGCCTTAGTCTCCCAGGTTTCATCTGAACTGAAACAGCTCAGAAATGTACCCTTACTTTAAGATATCAACAGGTCACAGACAGCAATAAGCAAATGCTTGAGAATCAATGCAAGATTTTGTCTTCTCCTTAAAACCAGTAGCTTAAGGACTGTAATGAAAATACAAAACCACTGAACAACAAGTGAATCAACATCCTGAAAGCAGCAAAGTGCAGGGAGTATTATTTACATCTGCTCTACAAAAACAGCCAAATTACTACACACAGTAGAACCCAAGTCCCTCCCACTGGTATTTTTCCTCATGCAAACCCAGTTCTAAAATAGATTTTCAAATTCCAGAACTAACAATAACAACATTTAGGAATACAATAAATGAAAAAAGAAATGAATCTCTAGAGAATCATGACGCTCACCAACAGAACAGTGAATTACCTCAGTTCTCAAGCCACGTTTCAGAAAAAGAGGGAAACATATGAGACTCTACACTATTAAAATCATTCAGAAGGTGAAGATAGAGCGAACATAAAGCCAAGTATCACCAGTAAAACCAGGTGAGAGCTAATAGCAGTTACCAGTTCAGAAGCTGTTTAACTCACCAAATAAGAGAAAACCCACAAAATTTTAAGCAGCTGAGAAAGCAAAAAACTATCTCTGAAACAAGAGGTCCTTAGTAGAGGAGGTCACAGACATTACAACCTGCTATCCATTATTAACACATATCTATGTGCTATTTTGAATTCAGAGAGCTAAGAAAGAGGGCTGCAAGTAACACGTTTAGATCTGAATCCTTTAGACCTGAAATTTCAAAACGTCAGTGAACTTGACAGTTTCTTCTTTAATTCTTTCTCTGCCCAAGCAGACTCTTCATAATTAGAGCTGACATTATGTGTCTTAGCGCTCCCCAAAATCATCTCTGTCCTTTGCGGTGTGGGTTACAACACAACACATACACTCCCAGAAAAAGTACTCAGATGGAGTCAGTTTGTTCAAAAGGACTTATTCACAATTTTGGATTCAATACTAAAGACAGACCAGATCCCTTCGAGCACATCAGTTTCTGTATGTGGGGAATTGAAGCTTTAGATCTATTTTTAGAGCCATCTTCTGACAGTACTTTAGGGATCTTCACCGATCTTTGTAACTTGACAAACAATTTGGATTTGTTTCAAAGTACCCCTGTATAATTTATATATTCCTTTTGAAATATTCTCTAGTCCTTTGAGTCTCTCATTGTATTTAAATGGGGTTATTTTTCAATTTGAGTTCTGTTGGCGTATTTGCCTCTATTTGAAATTTCAGAAAACACCTGGATTCAATATGAGAATCTGCACAAGAATATGAATTTATTCTGCACAAGAACTTGCTGCGTGGTGCTAACAGTGTTTTGGCAAGACAGGAATATCTCTTCAAAGAGATGAAGGAGTACCAGAAAAGCACAGAGTCCAAAGAATAAGTCTTGAAGTTGAACCAGTGATAAAACTGCCTCCAAGTGAAAGTAAAGTAACAGAAATAAAGTTTGGTGCTCTAAAAGCAGAAGAGGGGTATGTAGGTTTTTACTCCATAGCTTTTTATTTAAAAAGTTACAAAAGGTAAAAATCTCCACAAAATGAGAACTCCTGAGCAGTGCAAGCACAGCCAGGCTCAGCCCCTTGAGGGGCACCACAGCACAGTGCACAGCCAGGCTCAGCCCCTTGAGGAGCACCACAGCACAGCGCACAGTTCTGGCTGTGACCTGCCAGGAGACCCCCACGGTTTCAGCTGGACACGCCCGGACAACCCTCACACATTCAGGTCCCAGTAACCCTGTCCCACAACTGACACACAGCCAAGGCAAGGCTAAGCTGTAGCAAACAGCAGGATGGTCAACAAAGGATAAAAGGAAACCCAGTTCTGTCAGGAGTGCCGCAGAACAACAATCACATCAACTGCCACCTCGCCTGGGCTGATCCTATTGCTGCTCTCCTCGCAAACTCCACCGTCCTCATTACAAGGTGACTAAGAGTGGGGGTGCCCCGTTCCATGCAGGTGGATAAAGAGCTGTCCAATACCCCAAACACACCTATTTAGTGTCAGCTGAGAGTCAATTTATTTGCAATCATCGCTGAGCCTCTTTCTACAGACACCTGCCAGCCCTCCACGATGTCTGAAGCTGCTTACATGCTGTAAGAAACAGCTAAGAGTCTGTTATCAAGCAGTCTTGTGTGACCTCACCCCAATTGCTAATAAGCTAAACCCCTTACCATTTCTTAGTAAAAGCTTAAGTGCTTCAGCTTCCATTCACTCTGCCTTAAGCTGCCAAACTGGAATAATAATACCCATCATTGCATAACACCAGTTTCAAGGGGACTGGTTTAATGCTCTTTTGAGAAGCAGCTGTGGAAAGCTTCCTTTGTGAGAATGAAGAAAGTGAGGTACAGGAGTGGAACGATCACATTTCATGGAGCTGAAAGTGATGCTGAAATTAATAAACATTAGGAGATTTAACCAACATTGAAAAACCTGTCCCAAAGTGACCCGCACAAGGTCAGACAGGTCATCTGACACCAAAGCAGAACGGAAAGTCTAAAGGCCTCCAGTCTCCTGCTCAAACACGGCACCTCGTTGCCCCCACTGAGCAGGAAATCAGTGTTTCAGCCAACCACGCCTGAAATCTCCGGTTTCCAAGAGCCACAGAGAAGCGATGGCAGGCCGAAAGCAGCGTGCTACAGAAACGTGACACAGAACATAGCTCGTTTGTCATCCATCCACGCCGCACAGCCTCCACATAGCAATTAAAGACTTAAAACCCGAGAAAAAGAGCTAAGAGGACATTACACACAACAGCGCTGCGAAACCACACACACCCGAGTCTGGCAGCCTTTTCGCACAGACCGAGCGGCGCTTCTTCGCTACTGCCACACAACGACGGCAGCCCGGCCGGGCAGGGGAGAGAGCTGGGCCCGCATCCCCGTCCGCTGTGCGGATTCCCGGACACTGCAGGGCGGGATCCCCCCGAGCACGCGGAGTCGCCGCGTTCCGCGGCCCCGGCGAGGCGCGCCCGAAGCCCCCGCTCCGGCGGCGGCACAGCCGGGAGGGCGCGGGGGCTCCCGCGGGGCGCTCCTGCTCAGCCCCAAGGGCTCCCGCGGCAGCACCGGCGGCTCTTCTCTCTCGAGAGGGGCTCTCCCTGCACTCGCCCCCCGCGAGCCCCGTCCCCGAGGGCGGGAGGGACGCGGCGACACCCCTCAAGTCTCGAGGCGGCGGCACCGCTCGGTGCCCCGCGCCTCCCACCCGCCGCGCCTGGCCCGCAGCGCCCGGGCCCGCCCCGCTCCCGCTCTCCGCTCCTCTGTCGGGCGCCCCGGGCGGGCGCGGCCCGGGCCGAGTCCCGCACTCACCCCTTCATGGTGCGTCCGCGGCCTGCCTGGCCTCCGCGTTGGCTGCGTGCAGGGCCCGGCAGTGCGGGTGCGGCTCCGGCCTCGCCGTGCTCAGCGCGGGCGCCTCAGTCTCCTCCCGATCCCACTCCTGATTCCGATCCCGCTCCCGCTCCACATGGGCCTCCGCCCGCCCCGCTCCGCCCCGCTGACCCCTCACCTCACGCAGCGCGCGCACCCCCGCCCCGCCCGCCATGACCCCCCCCGCGCGCCCCCACCGCGCACGCGCCTCGCCCTCCCCCGAGGAGGAGAAGAAGGGGGAGGGCCCCGCGTGACTCGAGGGCGGGGCGACGAGTCTGCCACGTGGTGCAGGACGGCCAATCGCCGCGCCCCGCTGCGCCCGGCTCGCCTTTGCTCGGAAGCGGCCTGGGCTGGGCAGGTGAAGCCCCGCCCCGAGTTGGGCAAGGCTTGCGCCGGGCACTTCCGGTGCGCGGCGCGGTCCAGCGCGGCGCATGCGCGCGGGGCCCGGCGTCAGCTGATCGAGCGCTGCCTTTGCCGCCGTCGCTGCCGGGGGGACTCGGGCGCATCGGGCGGATCGGGCGCGCCGGGCCGGCCCAGGTGAGGCGCTCGGGCCCTTCCCTCGCCCTGCACCGCTCCCCTCGCCTCTCCCGAGGCGTGCCCTCAGGGCGTCCTTCCCTCCGGTGAAGCGGGGGCTCGGCTCCCGCCATCCCGCTCGGTCCCTGCCCGGGAGCGGCGCGGGGTCCCCGCGGAGCCGCTTCCTGAGGCAGCGCGGCCTCGGCCCTGCGGAGCGGGTGTCGCCGGGGCCCCCGGGCAGCCGACCTTTACGGAGCCGCCGTGTCCCAGCGGGAAGGCGGCCGTGCGCTTCCCGGTCCTGCTGCTCAGGGAGATGAGATCTGGAAGCGAAGCAGCTCCTGAGTGAGAAACCTGCTGAGACATCTCGCAGACGCCGAGTGAGATACCCCAGGGTTATTCCGGAATCCCTTATAAAAAAGGGAAGGGGTGATAGTGGCCGGGTTTCAGTGCCGGGTCATCCCACCATCTTGAGTGGGTGGAACTGAATCTTTCTATGCCTTGACCGCAGCCCAGCAGAGACAGAGCATCAAGGTTGTGGAGCAGGAATGCTGCTGCGGGTTTCTGACTGCAGCCCATTCCTAGCCGAGAAGCCCACCTGTTGTTTTGCGGTTGAATATACTGATGGCACATCAAATGGGATTCCAAATGCGATTTCCTGTAGCCAGTGAAAAAATTCCAGTTTAGGTGAGGTGTTCCAAATGGAACACTTATCATTCACTTAGAGGCAAGGAAGAAATGATACATGACTGGATGATATTGTGCATGTTACAGTTGGCAGTGACATTGCAGTATGTGATGTGTCAAGATCCATCCACTCAATGCAGTTGCCCAAAGTGATGTGCTTTCTTAGGAAGAAGTAAAAGAAAGTAAAACCTCTCTTCCTAAGGCTTTACTGGCTTCCCTCAGAGAACTTGCACTCCTGCTGGGCATAAAAGCAATTTGGTGATACTTTTATTCATTGTAATGCAATACTTCAGCAAAGTACACTGGCTATTTGATCTAGCGCGATATTTGAAATGCTAATACCACTTGATGAAGTGCAGAGGGGCTGGACAAGGAGGAAAGCCTGCTGACAGACTGCTGGAGGTAATTTACTAGCCCACCCCTTGGTAGCACTTCAGCAAGAACGTGCCAAATACAAGTTGGCATTTGGTAGTGGAAGTTTGAGTAGCTGAGGCAGATCCTCAGTATACTGTAAGTTGCTGTATTTGTGCTGACTTCGACACTGCAGATCTGCAGTAGCTAATGTTTGGCTTTTCTGTGCAGTATTTTTAAAGGCCTTTAAACGACCAGCAAACATAAATATTTAATTGTATCAACATTTTATTATTTTCTACTTAAGAGTGTGTGAAGTGAGGTCAGAGTCTACAGGTCTTTAAATTACCAAAAATAATGGAACTTATTTTTTCTCTACCTGTTAGTTTCTTATGTGAAGTCTTCTGGAAAAGTTTTATTCTTTTATGTGGGAAACAAACTAGTTTTAATTTTGTAATCGGGTGGCAAAGCGTGGCATTCAGAAATACTAAATCACCATGGTCATCAACTTGAGAGTACAGGGAAGGAGAGATTAAGGCAACAGTGGAAAATGACTGCTGGCATCAGCTGACTGCTCGGATGGAGGTTGAAGTCTTGTGTTGCAATAGTAACATGCGATCTGTTTCCTGTGAATGCAGCCTTTTCATTTTCCAAATCAAGAATTATTTTCTACAGATAGTGATAATATAAGGGTGGAGCCATGAACAGTTAGTACTGTTTGCTTAACTCTTCTAGAGCATTAGATTAAATTTAGCCTTTATTTTGGTCTAAGTATATATTAGCAGTTTTATACCTCATTAATCTTGTCTTAAAGTCTGTAGGCCTCACTGTGCTTTTGTTATCTAAATTTTTTTCCCAGTATGACTTTGTGGATTTATCTTCCAGACTCACATGGGTGCTGGAACTGCCTGTTGTCATCCAAAGCTGCTACAGACCAGCAGGTTACTAAATGATTTCCCTGAAGAGACATTTAGAGGCACTACACTTTACCTCTTGTGTTGAGATACCATGATAGTGTCTCTTAGGATTACTGAGCCCTGAAAATTCCAATTGATGGTTTTCCCTTGTGGTTTTAAATTGCATGTTTGTGAGCTAAGGCCATGTTCCTGGTTACTCTTCTAGAAAGAGTAAAGGGATGGTGTTGACCATAAAATGTTGAATGCTATTACTGGCCAAGTAGTAGTTCCCCTTTTTCTTTCTCTGTCTTTTTAAAAAAACCCTACGAAACACAAGCCATGCAATAACCCAACACTACTTTGCCTGAAATAGTTTCTTTCCTCCATACTTGTTTCATTGGTTAAAAAGTAGGGGATTTTAGACTTGGAAATATTGAGGTATTGTTGAACAATGGTATCCACATGATTTTTTTTTTTAGGCTGGAATTATACCAAGGAAAACAGACCATTTAGTCAACTGGAATATCATGCTCATTCATTCTTATTCAACATCTTAAAACATGTGACTTCTTTAACCTTCCATCTGGGCAGAGAGAAATGGGGACCTACTCTAGAAGAGGAAGTAGAATGAATCTAAACTTTTAAACCTTTGTTTCCTGTATGGATTACAGTAGTCACCTAAAGGTCCAACATGCAAAACTGGCTTAGACTGGATATTCTGGTTGTCATTGTTGTACCTTCTTTTATGTTATGAAAAGGTTTTTTGTTCCTCTTTGATATTTCTACTGCCTTCTCCCCTTTGAGAGTGGACAGCTAAGCTTATACTAAATTCTGGGGTTTGGTTATCTCTCATGGCAGTAAGTTCTACAGTCTCAAAGATATGTTTTGTTTGGCTACTTTATTTCATCTATGCATTTATTTCTTCTATTTTTGCCAAGCTCTCAAGTTCAGCACCTCTGTGCCTTGGAAAGGATGACCCTTTGCTGCCAGCTTTCTAGACTTCCATATATTATATGGCTTCTCTAGCAGACTTTACCTTCCAAGGCTTGGCTTTACTGAAATGATACACTTACTTTGAAAACCTTTAAGATGTATATGGCTAAATCCTGAAAGTCTTGGCCTAACAGACCTTATTACTATCACTTAACCAGATGGCAGAAGATTATCAGTTTTAGGTGAATTTATTTTCTTGCTTCATCAGCTTGAGTACTCCTCTGAGTTTGTGTAACAGTAAATTTCAGTGTCACTGCTTACTCTCTTCAGAAATCATTTGTCTGACAGTGGTCTAATACATGCATGGTGCCTCTGGACAGTTCTATTTTGCCATAGTTATGCTTGTTTACCAGAGTGGTTTGTGGTTGTTCATGGAAAAGAGAGGTGGTCTGGATGTCAGTTGTGATGCTGGTCTGTGTTCTGTACCTTAAGCATGAAGAGCAGTCCTGTTGTGGTTGGGATGTCACGTGTGAGGAGGTATGGAAAGGTTATGGGAAAAGCCATTGACTTTATAGAGAGAAAACTGTGCCTGTATTGGAATAGCTTACTATAGCTGGACAAAAGCTTTTGGGTTTGCAAGTTTCATGTAACAGCCTGCATTGACAGCTTTTTAAAACTGAACAATGAAATTGCATCTTCCAAGAAGTTCAGTTAGTGGGGCAAACCTGTGTCATTGTTACACTGTATCATTACTCCATTTCCCGCTATGAAAGTAATACCTTAAAAAGCAGCTCTCTAGAAAAAAATTAGAACGGTGTTTTTGGCTAAATGCAGATAACATTGGTAAGGATGTCTAACAAGGCAGTTCTATTATGTGGATTTCCTGTAAATCCTTGAAATTTTGAGGTTTTTGTTATCATGAGATAAATTTGCATCACCACAATATGTAGTTTAACAATGTTAAAATTTAATATGTTGGAGGGGTGCTGGCTGTTCTAAAGAAGCTGTAAATACTTCATTGTATACTTTTATTGAACATAAAATCGCCAAATGTGACTTCGCTTGCTTTAAAATATAAAGGTGAAGTTTTCCATTACCGGAAAAGTCAACCTCAACGAAATATCCTTTTACTAGAATCCAGTGCCAGTATGTGTGTTGTGATTCCAACCAGGTGTTTCATTATACCAAAGGTGCTATAAAAGAGTACTTCTCTCTGTTAGGGGCATTGGATCTTTCTCAAAGACTTTCATGCAATCTTAATCCTGGTTCAGGTCTTCAAACTAGCTGCCAAATACCTTGCATAATAAACTGAAGATTCCACAATATCCCAACTTTAAAGATTATCTGAAAGTTAAGTGTAATGATGAAATACTTATTCTAAACTAGTGCTCAGTACTTCAGCTGTTACACCCGGGGAAAGGAAGTTAAGCAGTGGTGACACTTGAAGGGGAGCCCCCATCTGTTTTAATGAGCCCAAACTATTAGTATGTTTCTGTATGTAAAACTGAGCTTGACTTAAAAATCTAGCAACAGTTGTTTTGTGAAATTGCACACCTTATGTCTGTTGAGGTAAGATCTTCAGCTGTACTGAACTTTACTTAAGTTTTCTGCTGTAGTTGCTTACAGCTTTGCATTCTTCTCGTTTGAATGTTTCTTGTCTTAAAGGTTAGAACTATAAAAAGTATTTCAAGTTACAGTGCCCAATACACCTCAAAGAAGAGTG